AACAAAAAGATCGTATTCCTGTCGTAATAGCAGCACTACTAGCTCATCGTACATGCCCCTTCCGGAGCTGCAGATTGCTTTTTGCATTGCGCAGTCGATACAGTTGCTAAAAACATTTGAGGACTTGGATTGAGCCATTTATTCTTCATATAAATCTAATCCTCCTGCAGATTGACTTATACTTTTTAGCCCGTAGTGAACCTAGAATTTAGTTTTGAGTTTAAATTTTGACGTCCAATTGAGAACGGAAACGGAAGTGGCACTGTTCTTGTTGTCTTGTGATGGAAACCGTGTCCATGACCGCTTTTTCGTGGCTAATCTCCTTCTTTAGTTGTAAACCATGAAGAACCAGGGTTATGACCGATTCCCTTGAACAAAAACAGAAGCGCCCGTGCACTATGCGATTAACTGGCGCCAGCCTTCTTAAAATGTAGTCACGTTATTATAGTACATCTTAGGCTTGTCACGGGAAGCAGACTGATAATAACTTCGAGACAAGCTAGGCTACATTCGCAACACCTTCTGTTGTTAGCATCTGTTATAGTTCTCAATGCACCGTCTTCAACGTAGATTTCTACCCAGATCAAGTTTTCCTGTTCCTCGAGGTGGATTTCTCGTCGATTCCAACTTTCCTGAAGACACGGTTCATGAGCTGTTTGGCTAAGAATGGCCCAAACAGGGCCAGAAGTGGCTCAAAAATCGACGTTGTCAATGAACTGTTCCTTCAGGCGGCAAAGGCGAATGTTGACTGACTTTCACAAATCACTTTTGACTAGAATTGGTATGAAGGCTTCCAAATGTGATCACTCTCTTTTAAGCACTTCGAAGTCCGCCAAATTCTTCCTATTACATCCCCAACATACGCTTTTCTTTAATGAAAACTGAGACGAAGTAATGCTTCCTTATACATATACGACAGTTTTTTGATGAAGCCGTTTCTGTAGATCTGACATTTGGAACTCTACAACTCTTCAAACTTTTGACTGATCCCCTTCAAAAAAGGAAGGCCCTCACAGATCCGATTGTTTCAATCGCAGGTGTTCTCAAATGGGGTAGTGGGTGTACAGTTACTGACTNTTTTGATGAAGCCGTTTCTGTAGATCTGACATTTGGAACTCTACAACTCTTCAAACTTTTGACTGATTCCCTTCAAAAAAGGAAGGCCCTCACAGATCCGATTGTTCTCGCAGGTGTTCTCAAATGGGGTAGTGGGTGTACAGTTACTGACTGATTCAACAGTTTTTCATGGGCAGAAACTTATTTCGCATGAAGCAGAAATTGCAGCAGATGCAACCTATGCTTCCTTCGGATATTTCCTGCCAAACAGAATCCTGTTGCTTTGCGAACGTCTACGCTTACTCGACCTTTGACTTTGTTCTTAGGGCGATTCCATTCACATTGATAAAAGTGTTCTCTGATTTCTAGAGGATAACGCTTCTCGTGATCGACAACACTCGTGAGTAGAGTGGACCAACCGTACACATTTCAGATTACAAGCAATGAATGACTTCGGCGTTCGTGTATTCCCATCATCGTCATCAAATGCTATTCGGAATTCCGTTAAAGTTCTACATTATGCACCCGCACCGGCTGATCCACCAATTGATTACACACTGAGAGTGAAGCCTAATTCCAATGGTACCTATTTTACTATTAATGAATTCCTATTCCTACTTACTATCTCAAAATACGAACCTCATACACATCGTTTCTGCGGTTTGAAAGGAAAAAACCGATGGGAAAGAGCGTTTCTGTAGAACTAAATCATTAGAGCTTTCGGGCTTAGGCCTGTCATCGAGAAGAAACTCTATTAAAATAGAAAAGGAAAAAGAACCGAGCCTTAGCGCTTATCGATCTCGCTTTCGGAATGCTTCTCGCGTCCGACCTCCATTCAGAACCGCAATAGCGTTTTGAACGTGTATCTGCCCCGTACAATGACTTGCAGTAGCCGGCCGATGTACAAGTGAGGGCTTTAATCCTCCCAGACGAGTCTGACACCAAATGACCCACTATGTGCTGAACGAAAACGCTCGGACTAGGCCATTATCGACCCGGGATTCAATTTCCGTTAAGCATCACTTGCCACTACACCGCAGCCGCCCCTCCCAGAAATACCTCTCGATTTCTGTAACATTTGATTAATTTTTGTAGAGTGATTCTATGCATATTTGCCAATCAAATCATAGATAAGATATGCAATAAGAGAGAGTCGACTGCTAATCTTCAGCGTTTTGCGTCTACTTCCTCATCGAGCCTAGAATAGCCTGACTCGAGGATTCTCCCCAATTAAACATAGTAATTGCACCCAGCCTTGCAGAAAATTGCAGAAATATTGTGAGGAGAAGTTATTAGCGTTCGACTCCTCCCACTCGACTACATCGTTCATTCATAGAACGGGACGGATATTTTCCCAGAATAGTTCAATTAAACACGGGAGATATTCCTGAAGTGTTAAATTTCAACTGGCAAACTACTGAGGAGTACATCATGGGGAGAGATTTTTTACAGAGAGATTTTACTTAGTACTACGACAATAATGATTCAAGTCATCAACATCAGAGCTAAAATATCAAAGCAACAGTCAAGACGTTATCTCAGAATGTTCTGTTAAGTTTAATGGTTAAGGAGTTCATGTTCTGAATTCCAGCTGTTCCTACTATTCCATGGAAATCAGGAAACAAGTCCACGAGTGCTCCTCAGCAACATGTGAACAACTGGTAAGCGTATCGTACCAGTATGTAGTAACCAGGTGACCAGCCATTGCCCTGTGCCTCATTCGAGTGGCTGCGAGGGTTTTGATCACTCTCCATGATTACCACTTACATAACAAGGTCCTTCTTCTCCCTGGCGTCCACATAGCTAGCCGTAGGGTTAGCTGATCATCCTGACCGTCCCCATTTCGTTCTAGCTTTAGCATCTTCTGTCGTTTCATTTTTTGCTCGTCTCGCATACTGTCCACAGAACTCGCTCGGGGTTCCTACAAGCCGCTCACTAACTTGATTACTGATTTCATTTGAGAAGGCATATTTGTTTTGAATGGGTTTCTCCATCAATATGCCTGTTGACCTGAGCTTGACTGTGGTACTGCTATCATTTTTGGAACTCTTGCAAGGTATGGATATTGCCGTTGAGAGACATGGGCCTATACTCTTGAAAACTCGGCTATCCCTGGCTAGCATAATAGGTTCTTCTCTACAACTTTCAGAGGATTATGCCCTTAATATCTCTTATTTTCGTGACGGAGTATCAAGAATTCGTTCAGGTCAAAACAGCGTCAAAGTTCGGCGGAAAATTCAAATCTCAGAAGATATCCAACAGAGTAACATTCAAACTTTAACTTTCTTAAACACTAAAAAAGGACTCGGATTCCTGTTTCAGAAACGGACCGGCCGCTGTCGAAAAATTTCGGGACACAGTTGAAGAAAGTGCCTCAGTGTTGGAGGACTTGGATCATTTGCTAGACAGCGAAGAGCTTACTCTGCAACAAAGAATGAGTAGACTGGAGGTACCGAGTTGGCAACCTTTGATATATTTACCATCTTTAACTCTGAGAAGTGGTAGAGCAAGTGATGAAAAGCCACTGAAAAATCACTTAATGCCCTTTCAACTTTTTTTGACTTACTGATAGACTAGAGACCAGACAGGATGACAAGAGGTAAAGACGTGGGAGTATAGCTGGCGCTAGGGTCGACAATGACTATCACATCTCAGACGGTGGGTGACCATATCATAAGAATACTTGATTAAGAACCAACCAATTGTTAGTTTATCCGATTCACTAGACTCGAAACTCGTTTAGAGTGCAAGGACGGACAAAGTAGTCTAGGCTCACGTCTAAAATAAAACCCATGGAAATGATGTCCATTTCATAAGAAGAACCAAGCGTCTGCCGTAGTGGAACTGATAAGCAAGGTGTCCTGAAGGCACAGTTCCATGTTCGCTTCCTATCTGAGGCTTTATGCCTTACCCGCTACACAAAAC